CAATGTTCGGGCAACCTTCGTCGACTTTGAGACAGAGGCACTTAAATACGTTTACAACAAGCATATGAAGGAGGGGACCTCTGTTACAGAACATGTCCTGGACATGATGGTCCACTTCAATACTGCTGAAGTGAACGGGGCCACCATTGATGAGGCAAGTCAAGTAAGTTTTATTATGGAGTCTCTTCCGAAGAGCTTCATACCCTTTCAGACCAATGCTGCTCTGAATAAAATAGAATTCAACTTGACAACCCTTCTAAACGAGCTCTAGCGTTTCCAGAACCTTACTAAGGCTAAGGGGAAGGAAGTGGAGGCAAACGTTGCCACCAGAAAGAAAATACCAAGAGGTTCGACCTCTAAAGCAAAAGCTGGACCTTCAAAAAACAGAAATGTTCAAATAAAGAAGAAGAAGGAAAAGGGGAAGGCTCCCGTGGTTGACAAGGGAAAGAATGTTGCAAAGGGAATCTGTTTCCATTGCAACCAAGACGAGCATTGGAAGAGAAATTGCCCGAAGTATCTTGCCGAGAAGAAGGCAGAGAAAACAACGACAGGTAAATACGATTTACTAGTTGTTGAAACATGTTTAGTGGAGTATGATACTTCCACCTGGGTACTTGATTCAGGAGCCACTAACTATATTTGTTTCTCATTTCAGGAAACTAGTTCCTGGAAGAAGCTGGAAGAAGGCGAGACAACATTTCTCTAGTGCCTTCTTAAATAAGCAAATTACATGCAACTCTTGCATGTCAAAGTTCACCAAAAGCTTACAACACATATTCCACTTATGCATGGCATGGATAAGTGTCAAAATGCATGTCTAAGTTCAACAAAAGCTTACAACACACATTCCACTCATGCATGACATGACTAAGTGTCAAAATGCATGTCTAAGTTCACCAAAAGCTTACAACACACATTCCACTTATGCATGCATGGCTAAGTGTCAAAAAGTGGATTTTTGAGATTATTTAAATGTTCCACTCACAAGTTAGTGGAATTTTYCACCAACTTGGTTAAAAACATTATTTTAATCTACTTTAGTCAACCTTTGACTTTCTCTGGTYAAAGTCAACTATTTGACTTTTTCCAAAATCCGATGTYTGATGAAATCCATGCCTCCGAWTATGAATCCACATTCATAATTTTAATATTTAARTCCTATTTAAATATTTTGTCCAAATTTCTCAAATTGATATCATATATYAATTACTTAATCATATCTCATATGATTAACCTAATTCGTACGATTCGAATTATTCCTTCAAAATATTCCAAGTTTATTCCTATATGAGCTAGCCAGGGGACCTTATGGAACTACAGATTAGGAGCTCCAACGATCCGAGATTAACCGGTTAAACTCTTTAACCTAATTAACCAACATTCGTTAACTACCGGGTCACTCCACTAAAGCCCGTAGCTGCACTCTCTTCACTGTAGATATATTATGTGCATTTGATATAACCATGATCGGTAAGTCGACCCTTCACAAGTTGTTCGTAAGTACAGCTAGGTAAAAATACCGCTTTACCCCTGTAATTACCTCTTCTTCCTTAAGTCCCACTGATCCTCTAATGAATAATGATTTGTAGTCCAAGTATCAAATCAAAAATCCTCTCAAACCTTTTGATGAGGGTGGCGCCTATTGTTCAAGACCTGGATTCAGCCCTTAAGAGAACAACCTTTCTACTATCCTAAAATTGGGTAGAAGTGAATTTCTTCTAGCACCCTATGTCCCTAGCTATCTAYCGGGCCTTACCCCWGAAATGGGAGGCTTATTGAGCCAGCGCTGTTGAGCTGTTCTCACCCATGCAGATCTAAGGGTAATCCCGAGTAAACAGAAGTTCATAATTAGCTCAGGATTAAGATCGAGTTACCTAGGCCATCAAAGTCGAGATAGTCAGTTTCAAACAGTAAACAATGTTATAAAGTAAAACTGACTATCTCATGGTCTGGTCTTATGCAAACTCTTTGCACGGGACACCCCCACTCGCATGTCTTCACATGAACGAATTAGGATCACATCGTTTGTACTAGCTACAAAGTGGGCCGCATCCATAGTGTCCCCAGAATAAGGCGTTCAACCTTATTCCTATTCTATAGACCATTTAGACTGTTAACTCAAACTTGATCCATATTTATGTCTCTTACATAGAGTTTGAGTCTCAGGTAACAGTCTAGGATCCTTTATTTTATTGGATTTAGATCTAGTAAGAACATTTTCTTGGATCAATAACTACTTATTGATTAAAACCTTCAATAACAACTTTATTGAAAGATAAAAGTATATCTGGCATTTTCAAACTATGAGTTTCAGGACATATAACCCAACAAACACCCACTTGGACTAAAACTCCAATGGTACATTTTATTGAGTTTAAGTAAGAAAATACAAGAACATTGGGCATACATCAGATACACGCCGAATTATTCTCCCACTTGTCCTAGTTTACAAAACTCGTAGTCCTAGATTCTCTAGGTGACCCTCAAACACTTTAGCCGAGAGGGCCTTAGTAAATGGGCCAGCAAGATTCTCTTTCGAGGTTATCTGAGTGACGACCACGTTTCCCCGGTTTATTATCTCCCTTATGAGATGGTATTTTCGCTCAATATGCTTTGCGCGCTTATGGCTTCCAGGTTCCTTGGAATTTGCAACTGCTCCACTGTTATCACAAAAGAGAGTGATGGTCAGATGTATGTCTGGAACGACTTCCAGATCAGTCAAGAATTTCCTTAGCCACACTACTTCCTTTGCTGCTTCACAAGCAGCTACGTATTCAACTTCCATTGTGGAGTCTGCAATGCAAGTTTGCTTTACACTTCTCCACACTACTGCTCTTCCATTCAAAGTGAACACTGATCCCGATGTAGATTTT